TCTGCCAATTCCTTTCTATATAATGACTCAGTATATTCCTTCCATCTTCTTTTAATACTTCCTGGATCATTTAATATTCTGCCCGAAGCATCCTTGATTACAGCAACTCTATTACTCCTGGTTTTCACCAATGTAGAGTCTCCTTGTTCTGGTCAAAGGACTGCCTCTTGGTTTGTGTAGAGGTTATGCATTAAACCAACTAAGTGTTCTGGAATTTCCATTCTTCTCAAAGTTGTCCATAATTTATGAACCACATAGTGAAATGCATTTGCATATTCAGTAAAACACAATAAACATCTCTCTGACATCTTTTACTTTCAGCCAAGATCCATCTGATATCAGCAATTGCTTCCCTTTCTCCACCTTCTCTCCTAAACCTATTTTGAATTTCTGGTGGTTTCCTGTCAATGTACTGGTCCAATATAGTCAACAAATTTTAGCAAGATGTTTTTGAACAATCTTCAGCAAGTGTTTCAGCACACAGGTACGGTCCTTGTCATGCTCACCTGGCCAACTGACTGGAAGAGAATCATTCTTGCTCCAGAAATGTACCAAAGCAACACAAAATCCACCCCATTATAAAAATAGTGTATTGCCAAATGAATAATGCAAAGGTAACAGCAATCCAATAGGAGGTAAGGTATCATCTCTGCAACCCTATTATTATAAGATTTTTTTTCTGATTCAAGGAGATTAATTCTGTATGCTTTAAAATTGAGTAAGATGAAACCTATTTCACCTACTTTATACTCATTCTGTCTTTAACTCCTGATTATTGACTCGGGAGTAAATTTCTACTTTTTGTGGTAGGGTTTTTGTTTTTGTTTTGTTTTGTTTTGTTTTTTCCTTCTTTTGTGTACCATCGAATTGGATCCAAGTGGCACAGGAGGAGATTGCCCCTTCTTCTGCAGCTGAGCATCTAGTGGATTTGAATCACGTGCCTTCAGGATTACAGTGCAGCTTCTTGCCACTAGGCCACTAGAGCTCCCTAAATTTATGGGGGTTTTGTTGTTGTTGTAGTCTCTTGCTTTCCTTTAAAATGTTAAGAACTCCTAACTCTTCTATCTTTGTTCTTGGCAAAGAGTTGGCTCCAACCCATAACAATCCTATGGTCAATAGAATGAAATGTTGCCCCATCATGCACCATCCTGACAATCTCTCCCGTGTTTAAGTTCATCTTTGCAGCTACTGTGTCAATCCATCCTGTTGGGGGTCTTCTCTAATCCTCTACTTGTTCAAGCATGGTGTCCAAGTACTGGTCCTCCTGATCATAAACCCAAAGTTAGTGTAACAGACTCTCACCATTCCTGCTTGTAAGGAGCACTCCAGTCGATGGTAGATTTTTGTCCTTTTGGCAGTCTGTGGTATGGATTCTTCGCTAACACCACAATTCAAACACATCAATTTAATTCTTATTTGATCTTCCGTATACATTGTCCAAATTTCACATGCATATGAAACAACTGAAAATACCATGCCTTGGGGCAGGCATACCTTACTCTTAAAATGACATCTTGGCTTTTTAGCACCTCCAAGAGATCTCTGGCAGTAGGTTATCCCGTTGAAATAAATCAGGATGAATATTTATTCACAATTTTATAAAGACAAGCAAGAAATCTGAAAGTTAAAGAACTCCCAGGACATGTTCTAACCAATTAGATACATAATCAAGTAAATGTTTTTGGAGACATAACAGACTCACTGGCAGCAGGTTTGGGGTTTTATTGGGGTTTTTTGGGGGGGTGTTTTTTACCTTTTTTAATCTTTATTAATTTTAATGAACGTTTACAGAGACTTAGGGTTTTCAGTCATTCATTGTTGCACTTTTCTCCCTGCCCATCCACCTCCCCCAATTCACTCTTCTTGAAAAGAAAAATTCTTTCATTGTTATGCAATCCCTCCCCCCAAGTCCACTTCACTTTGCAGCCTTCGTTCTGGACTCCTGTCATGACAGTCATACCCAATCATATATCACTTTTAAACAGTTCTCTCCCTCATCTATTTCAATGCAGTATGTATCATTCCTCCCCCCCTTCTCTGCCTTCCCTCAACCCCAATGTCAGCCCTGTTTTACAACAGTGGCTCTATGAAACCACCACCCAAGCAGATATATGCACACCCATGTTTATTGTAGCTTCGTTCGGAATAGCAAAGAGCTGGAAACAGCTCAAGTGCCCATCAACAAACACACTGATAGAGAAGCTCTAGTATAGTCACACAATGGAATACTATGCAGCTTTGCAAAAACAAGGAACTCATTAAATATTATGCAAAATGGATGACCCTGAAGAACATTATGCTGCGTGAACTATCTCAGTCACAAAAGGACAAATATTGCATAGGGCCACTGTTGTAACATGGTTTTCATTCATTTTTTTTAATAAACATTTTTAATAAGCAGATGAGTACACAGATAATATTCCTCAACAACTTTTTGTAATCTTTCTCTACACCAAAATATTTTCAAGTGTTAATGTTAATCTTACTAAAGCTATGCATAGTAAATATATTAACAAGACAAAATATTAACCTAATTAGACCATTAATTTCCAATATTAGGTATGCTCATTTCAAAAGCACAGAAATAATACTGTCTCACAATCAAGTAACTTTCTCTTTTTTTACCATCAAAGGCCCTTATTTCTTTCAACCCAACTGAGCTCTACAGTTCCGGAAACACTTACTGTTCTTTGCATTAGCAGAGGAGAATCTGTTCCTTCCTCTTTAAAACTTGCTTCCATACTGATCACATCCTCAATAAGCTCCTCCACCTAGAAAAATGCAGTGCACTTTAAAAATCTTGCAGAACTATATAAGTAATGCTTCCACCTGATGCCAGGTACATAAAGTACTCAAGGTTTTTGAGAATATTGAAATTGAAGTCATATAGCCATTAAAACTTGAAAACTGAATATAAGACAATCCTAATCTGTGTGACTTTTCCTCACTTTTGCTTCTGCCAATTGATGAGTGAAGGCTGGGGAAAGCACCCAGGGTTTGCCTTATGAAAACCGGTATAGAATGGTTACCACGAGGTACCTTGATCAAGAGCCCTGGTACTTAATGTGTAGAGAGATGACTTCCCTGATTATAGTTGTCAAATGTCTTGATTGCATTTATAGATGTGTATGTAAGAAAACATTAGTCAAATTTTAGCCTACTACTTCCCATGGATACAGACTAAATGGAAACCTATTATTGTCTTCCCTATAGGGATAAAAGCCATGAGAGTGACTGTAACAATAATAGCAACAACAATTGCCACAGGAACCCTAACTATTAATGCTAGGCAACACTGATAACAGCATATGAGATATTCCAGCAGTCAGCTAAGTGCATTCTATATTGGGAGCTCTAGTGGCTTAGTGGTAAGGAATTGTGCTACCAACACAAAGGTGCACAGTTCAAACTCACCACCTGCTCTGTGGGAGAAAGAAGGAGAGTCTCCTTCCAAGTGATTATCAACCTCTAAAAATTCCCTGGCAGGTCTGCTGTGGTTCGACTCTGACTTGATAAAACATAACAATACTGTACTTATCGATTCATTTAAGCTTTAATATAATCTTGTGATGTAAGTACTGTTATTATCTCCTTAGAACTAATGTGAAAACTGAAGGACAGAGACAGTAAATAAAATTAATGAGTGGTAGGAAAAGATTCAAATTCTAGATTTCTGGATCTACAGTGCTAACCTGGAACAAACTTTATTAAGCAACACAGAATGCTAAAGAGCAACGACATCATGCTGGAGAGTAAGGTGCACCTAATCCAGGCTATATTCGCAATTGCATGCTCTGCATTGCAGAGCCTAACAGTGACTAGTGATGATAGAAAGAGAATTGATGCCTTTGAGTTGTGGTGCTGGAGAAGAGTCTTGAATATACCATGGACTGCCAGGAGAAAAAATGGTTTGTTTGGGTTTTTATTTCCTGGAGAGGGTGAAGCCAGGCTGCTCCTTGGAGTCAAGGATTCTGAAAATATGTCTAACATACTTTGGGCATGTTGCAAGGAGAAACCAGTCCTTGGAGAGGGATGTTTGGGGACATGCACAGGGGAGGAAGACGCTTGATGAAACGGATTGATTCAGTGATTGGGGTAGTGGGAGTAAGTGTATCTGAGACAATGAGGTTGGCACAGGATAAAGCAGGGTTTAAGGCTCTTGTACATAGGGTCGCTATGAATCTCAAGTGACTCGACGGCACATAACAATAACAACAAGCAACACTATCTCTCTTTCTATCCCCCTTCCTCCCTCTCTCCCTCCTGTCGTCTTTCTCCTTCCTCTCTCTCTCTCTCTTCTCTTGCATATTCTCTTTTTTCACCCACCTTTTTCTCACATGTGCTCTCTCTCCCCTTCTCCTCTCCTCCATCCTATTTTCTTTAGTGAAAATCTCATCTAGAATACGGAGTCAAATATGTGACAAATTCCAAGTTTACAATTAAAGAATTTTTCCAGATTGTGTGCCTAGACAACCAGAAGAAAATTTGGGTGGCTGGAAGGATGGGCAATATCCTACCATGTGATTATGGCCTCAGAAAACCCACTGGAGAGGCAGCTATGGGGTTGGTTCAAACTTTATGGCACACAACAACAAGAACAATATTCAAGAAATAGGGAGTTCCGGTGACTCAGTGGGAAGAAGGTATACTGCAATCCCAAAGGCACATGGTTTGAACCCACAAGCTGCTCTGCATGTGAAGGAAGGACATTCTCCTCTTGTGCAATTTACTGTCTTTGAAAACCCACTGGAGAGTCAAGAGTGGTTTGGTTCCAACTCAATGGCATAGAAAAACAACAACGGATAAGAAATATCACGTGATTGTATTGCTGTTATTGTCTAGCCAACATTTCTAGGAATCTTTAAAAAGTAGGTATTCAGAAACTTGTCAAGCACTCCCAAAGACTATATGAAATGTTTCTCGCATAATAATTTAGCAAATGTTTACTGAGCACTTATTATTTACAAGGTCTTGCTATAAGTACTAAAGCTACAGGTGGCAAACAGCACAAAGTCCTTGTCATCACAGAACTCAAATGTTACTGAGAAGATAAATGAATTGATAACAATTGACAGTGTCCTGAAGAAATTAGAACAGGCAGGAGACACAACTTGACATGAGACAGGTATTATTATAGGGAAGCAGTGAGAAAAATATTTGCTAAAGAAATGATATTCTAATAGAGACATAAATAACAGGGGGAAGGATAGTCCACACAGAGTGATTAACAGAGGAAAAAACCCTGGAGTAAAACAAAACTTAGAATGTTTGAGGGAAAGTGTGAAAAACAAGAGAAAGGGAACAAAGGGAGTGAGGGCAAGGGCTTTTTGAAGGGAAGCTGGGGGAAAATGTCAAGAAACTAATATTGTTAAAAGTTCTAGGCCGCTCCTGTCAAACAGAAATTTCTGCAATGAGAAAACTGTTACGTGTTTGAGCTGTCCAGTGAGATACCAACTAGCTGGTGTCTGCAGTTGCACTGCCTGGTGGCTTAGAATCAAGAAGCTGAGCTGAAATCCTAAAGGTACAAGGTTCGAGTCCATCAGATGCTCCATGGAAGAAGTATGGGTAATCTCCTGTGTAACTAAACCTGCTTCTGAAAATCTGCCAGAGAGGGTCAGCTATGGGTAGGTTCTGACTCAACAGCACACAGACTTGATGGCCACAGTTAAACTGCCAACTCAAATGTCTGTGGTTTGAATCCACCAACTACTCTGTGAGAGAAAAATGTGAAATTTCTTCCAGTGCGATTTATTGCTTCTAAAAACCCACACAGAGTCAGCAATGAGTTGGTTCCACTTTTCAGGATTTGTTTTGTTAGCTGTTTTTGTTAACTTTTGCTAACTACATATATATGCTTGAAATATTCCTAGTGTGACCGAAGAATCGTATTTGTTCTTCCATTTCATTCTTTAAAATTCTCTATGAATTTATTAATTTAAAATTATAAGTCTATCACTATTGGGCTATTGAGACTGCAGCTCTAGGTCAAGATCAGGACAAGACTGTATATGTTATTTCAAATGTTTTGAGAGACCTTCAAATAATTCACGATAATAAATATGCTTGTACTGTTCCTCTTGTTTAGTTTCTTCTCTGAAAAAATTTAAGTCATGTCTTGACCATTGTAAAACTTAAATTTTAACTTCACTATATATCTCACTTCCTCATTCCATTATTTAATGAACAAAAAACTGAACAGAATTGAATGAACAAAAAACTGAACAGAATTGAAATATATTTAAGAAAAGAATTGTCAGCATAGTTTGTAGCTAATCTTTTGGAGTCTTCCAGCAATTTCAGTAAAATCTACTTCTTGTTGTTGTTGTGTACTGTCAAAATGTGTATGACTTATAGTGACCCTATGAACAAGACATCTGAACCCTCTCGTATTCTTTGTCATCTTCATCATCTCTGATATGCTTGAACACTTTGCAATCACTGTAGCAATCCATCTCACTGCACTGACCTTCCACCTTCCCAAGCTTGATGTCCTTCTGAGGAATAGCTCCTCCTAAAAACATGCCCAAAGTATGCAAGATGAAGCTTCACTATACTTTCCTCCAAGGAGCACGTTGGCTTCACCTTTTCTAAGACCTAACTAACTATGTGTTCTTTGGGATTTTAAGTACTATCAATACAATTCAAAAGCATCAATTCTTCTTTTGTCATGCTTATTTGTTGCTAGCCCTCAGACACATAGCAAGTGATTGAAAAGACCATAACTTGAATCAGGAATCTCTTAGTCTCCAAACTGATATCATCGCTCTTCAGTAGTTTGGAGAGTTCCTTTACAGCACACTTTCCCGAAGAGTCTTCAATAAGGATTGAAACCCACTATCAAGAAGACAAAGATTTTCACTGCTGGGCCAATTGGCAGCACTGTAACAGATGGAAAATGGATTGAGGTTACTAACAATCTCAGCTTGCTCGGCTCCACAATCAACACTTTTGATACCAGCAGTCAGGAAATCAAAAGATAAATTGTACTTGGAAAATCAGGAAGCTCTTCAGTATACTGAGGAGTAACAATGTCTTTCTAGAGACTAAGGGGCACCTGATCTAGGCCATGGTCTGTGCAATTTGCTATGCATCAGAGAGCTGGACAATGACTAAGGATGACAGAAATAGAGTCAATGTCTTTGAGTTGTGGTGCTGGAGAAGAGTATTGAACATACCATGGACCACCAAGAAAACAAACATGTCTGTCCTGGAGAGAGTGAAATCAAATTTCTCCGTGAAGGCAAAAGTTTTGAAGCTCCATCTCACATACTTTGGGCATGTAGCCAGAAAGGACCAGTCCTTGGAGAAGGATGTTATGCTTGCAAGGGTAGAGGGATAGTGCAGGAGAGGAAGACCCCAGATGAGATGGATTGACACAGTAACTAAAGTAACAGCAATAGATCTGTTATAGTCGGTGAGACTGGCTCAGGATAAGGCAAACTTCAGAGCTACTGTACACAGGGTTGCTGAGTCACAGGTGACTATTGAGTAATTGTGTCAAAGATGTTGACTGTGGACCCAAGATGAAATCTTTGACAATTTCAATATTTTATCCATCTATCATGATGCTTCCTATGGCCCAGTAGTGAGGATTTTTATTTTCTTAATGCAGAATCATAATCTATATTGAAGATTGTAATCTTTGACCTTCTGCAGCAAATGTTTCAAGACTCCCTCATTTTTAGCAACTGAGATCATATCATCTGCATAATGTAAGTTGTTGATGTGTCTTCCTCCTAATCTGATATAACCTTTTCTTCATAGCACTCAG